TCTGGTTTGGCCCAGACTGGTTCTGGTTTGGCCCAGACTGGTTCTGGTTTAGTTTCAGATGGCTTCTGGTTTGGACTGGTTCTGTTCCATCCTGACCTGTGACCCGGTCCATGGTCTAGTTCTGGTTCTGGTCCGGTTATCCTGATCTGTGGTTCCTTGCAGGTGTCCAGCTTCAGCTTCAAGTGCTGCAACAGTGATCTGTGTAACTCCGCCCCCTCCTCTGCAGCCAGCTCTCTGATTGGCCTGCTGGCCTCAGTGCTGGTCATGTGGCTGTGCGTCCACTGAGGGCCCCGCAGCGCCCCCTGGAGGCCGCTTATGTAACAGACTTACTGATGGCTCATGGTGGGATCCGAAGCGCAGCAGTGATCAGCGTCTGCAGCGCCCCCTGGAGGCCGCTGCTGGAAGGACAGGAGGCTGATGAACGTCCTTTATTAACCCAACTGATAAATTCTTCACTGTTTACACCTTAACTCTTCCAGAAACTTCTAGAAGTCCTGCTTCTATAACTGACCTGCAACCAGCTCTAGATCAATAAAATCTTTTTAAAAAGGAAAATGTTTCCTTTTGTCTTTATTCTGTCTGAAGCTAAACTCTCTTTAATTTAGTGATGAAAATGAAACATGATGAAACATCTGCAAATAGAAAAAACTGCGATAAAAGAAAAGAACTTTGAATAAAACAGCCTGAAGAGCAGAAATGGAGGCTGGTCCAGGCTNAGTTTTTAAAGCTGTTGCTTTGGGAAGCGATTTTCCAGTAGATTCCAGGAATGTTTTTAGAACATTTCCGGAATGTTCCCATCGTCCAGATAGAGAGAAGAACCTCATTAAAAAGCCGAACCTCAATCTTCCTAAGATGTTTTTCTAGAACCTTCCCTTTGAGGTCTTGGTCAAAGCCACTGGTCAGCATCAGGTAGAAGCACAGGTGACCTCCAGGTGACCTCCTGCTGTGATTTCAGGGTCGGCCATTCGCTGCTACAGCTGCACTGACTACACCGCCAGCTGCGGCAAGCAGAAGGACTGCCGATACGAGGACGCCTGCCTCACGCTCACAGAGAGAGGTACGCACCCTGGCCCCCACAGGGAAAGCCTCCTGTCCACAGGTGTGGATCCACAGCTCAGACTAAGATGTTTCTGTTGCAGGTGGGAAGACCTACCGTCAGTGTCTGAAATACTCAGACTGTGAGAAGAACTACCTGTCTCAGCAGTTCCCCAAGGTAAACCTCCCCTCATTGGGTCAGAAGCAGAATAAACCAGAACCTGTGTGAAGCACCCAGGAGGGCACCCTGTTTCCGGATCCAAATCCCCAATATGGCTGCTCTGGGTCCAAATCAGACAGATGGAGACGGGAGCCGGAGTTCTACCAGAACCGGCTACTAGCTTAACCTGTTTCCCTGGCTTTATTAAGAATGGATGGATGGATGGGTTATTTTCAGATGGGTTCTGGTTTGGCCCAGACTGGTCCTGGTTTAGTTTTAGACTGGTCCTGGTTTGGCCCAGACTGGTCCTAGTTTGGCCCAGACTGGTCCCGGTTTGGCCCAGACTGGACCTTGTTTAGTTTTAGACTGGTCCTGGTTTGGCCCAGACTGGTCCTAGTTTGGCCCAGACTGGTCCTAGTTTGGCCCAGACTGGTTCTGGTTTAGTTTCAGATGGGTTCTGGTTTGGCCCAGACTGGACCTGATCCAGACTGGTCCTGGTTTAGTTTCAGATGGCTTCTGGTTCAGACTGGTCCTGGTTGGGCCCAGATTGGTTCAGATCCAGACTGGTCCAGGTTTAGTTTCAGATGGGCTCTGGCTTGGGCCAGACTGGTTCTGGTTAAGTTTTAGAATGGTCCTAGTTTGGCCCAGATTGGTTCTGGTTTGGCCCAGACTGGTTCTGGTTTAGTTTCAGATGAGTTCTGGTTCAGACTGGTCCTGGTTTGGCCCAGTCTGGTCCTGGTTTGGCCCAGATTGGTTCTGGTTTGGCCCAGACTGGTTCTGGTTTAGTTTCAGATGAGTTCTGGTTCAGACTGGTCCTGGTTTGGCCCAGTCTGGTCCTGGTTTGGCCCAGATTGGTTCTGGTTTGGCCTAGACTGGTTCTGGTTTGGCCCAGATTGGTCCTGGTTTGGCCTAGACTGGTTCTGGTTTGGCCCAGATTGGTC